TAAGTCACCTGCCTAATTTACATAACCAGTGGGAGCTGACATGAGGTTTGGGACCACTCTAGCCCTGCGTCCCATCCCACAGCACTCAGGGAGGGTTCTGAATGGCCCTGGTCAGGCTGTCCTTGGCATTGCCACTTCAGGGTGAACCTTCATGCTCTTTCAGCCATGCAAACTGGGCCTCCTTTCTTAGCTTCGTCCTGTGTAACTCTCTGCACCTGTGTGTGCTCCTGGCAGCCTGTCCTGATATTGGCCGGAGGGCTTCCCTCTAGGGAACCTCGGCCACACTGTGTTGCGGTGGTTTATGTGCCTGTCTGTCCCCTCAGCCAGGCTGCGAGCCCCTCCAGGATGAGTTCATATCACTAGTGGTGTGCTCTGTGGATAGTGTACTGGTCAGCTTTTTTATTGCTCTGACCAAATACCTGACATACAGAACTTACACGTTTATTTTTGGCTTAGTGTGTTAGAAGGTTCCAGCCCTGGGTAGCTGGCTCTGAGGGACCAGAGAGAGTAGCCCAAAGTCACAACCCCACACCCACCCCGACACACCAGAAGCTTCACTAATCTCCTAGGCGTCTCTCAGGCCAATCGAATTGACAGTCAAGATTAATCATCACAGACAGGAAGCAGCCAAAATTGTTTATGGAATAAATAGCCCGAGGAGGGGGCCAGAGTGTGCACATTACCCTTCCTGTCTCTTTGTGGGGCTGCCCACAGAGGCCTTTGAAAACATCCCTAAGAAACTAAGATGGAAACAGAAGTCTGGTTGAAATGATTCTTTGTCCAGTCTTACAAACCTGTGACTTTGACTTTGGGGGTAATTTTACAGTCAAAGGGGAAGAGGCCAGAGCAGAAGTGCCGTGGTGAGTTGAGGTTGCTGGCGGATGATGGCACTGTATAAATCCGTATTCAGGCCCCAGAGTGTGGCTGGGTCTGGGCGGGTGACCGATGCCACGTAGCTCTACTTGCCCTCAAGTGCGCAGCAGCTACTCCTCCCTCCCCGGGTGGTTTCTGGGCACCGTCCTTCCTTTGCACTGGAAGGTCCAGGAATGTTCTGGAGAAATGAATAGGAAAGTCAATGGTGTCTCTGTTCCCTGGTTGTCCTGAGTGTTGGTGGCAGGGAAGGGAGCTCAGGAATCAGCTAGAACTACTCAGATCACCTTTCTGGTAGGAGACAGGGCAAAGTGTGTGTGCTGTAGCCTTTTTTCCTATGCCCTCTCCAAATGCACTCAGCACAGCACTTCACCAACACATTTGCTTGCTTTTCCCATGAGAGTAAAGACCTCTGGGGTCTGGGATGGGAGCTGCTAGTCTCAGTGGGCTACTGAGCACTTGAAGCATGGCCAGTGTGACTGGGATAGTAGATCTTGGATTTTAATTGATTTTAGTGATTTTAAACAGCTATGTGTGGCTAACAGACAGTATGGAGAAAATTTCCATCCTTCCTGGTTCTCTTGGACAGTACTTCTCCAGATGGCTTCTGCTTTGATGGTAAGCTTGCCATTACCAAGACAGGGATCAGGAGTATCTAAATCATTTCATTTCATAACCAACATGAGGCTATGGCAAGACTGAAAACAAGGTATACACACACACACACACACACACACACACAAGCACATGTATTTCTATCCCTAGTGGCTACTGTAGATCCTCCCTTCTTAGCACTAGATTAATCCGGAGGCCTACTTTTGCTTAAATCTTTGCTGTTTTCCTCCTTTCCTGTAAGAATGCACTGAACTGTGAGGGCACTAATCTCATCAATGGGTTAACCCATTTATGAGTTCATAGCTAACTTGGCTGTTAGGAGGTGGGGCCTAGTTGGAGGAAGTGGGTCATAGGGGTGTGACCGGTCCCAGGCTCTTCCCTGCTCTCTGCTTCCTGGCTATCTGGAGGTGGGCAGCTTTCCTCTGCCATGCTCTTCTGCCACGATGTCTCTGTGCCTTGGAGTCAGCAGACCATGGACTGAAACCTCGGAAACCATGAGCCCAAGGTAAGCCCCTCCTCCTTCACACTGTGGGTGTCCCAGAGATGAGAACCATACGTGCTGCCAAGGAAATCACTGTGCTTTCCTGCAGCTGCTGTCTCTGAAGGACTTTCATCTGAGGCTGTCTGCTTTGCAAAGCGTAAGAAAGCCACATCCCTCGTTTTCCAACTTCTGGCTCTACTGGAAGGCTCTACCGTGACCAGGCAGGGCAGGGCCTTTTGTGTCCCGGAAGGAGAGTCCCTGCGTGCACCATTTCTGAGTGATGAGCAAGCAGAAGTAACACCTAATGTTAAGGAGGTAACTGACTGCAGCAAATAAGGAGGCAAGGCACAGCTTCAAATTTTAAAAAATATTTATTTAAATAAAAATTTCCTTTTCATGTGTCTGAATTTTACAGAAAAATACTGACAAATACTATATAACTTTGATCACTTATATTCTTCTTTAAAAGGCGACTGCCCTCTCTCTAGATTTTCCTCTTTGCCTTTCCTTCTCCACCCCCAAGAAATAAAAAACAGAAAGTAAGTCCATGGAGTGTTGGAGAAAAGACCTCTGATTATCATCTGAGTCTGGCTGAGGCTGTTCAGAAGTACAGGCCAGGACTCAGGGGTGAGGAGGTCCTGTCTGAGCTTGTGATGGCTTAAGAAACCTCTTCTGTATGAATCATTTCCATTCCTCATTAACTTACCCCCCTGCCAGGTTCTGAGGTTCCACTTTGCTCATTACCAGTACGAGCAAAGAAGGATGAAGGGACAGAAGTGGGATGGTACCGGGAAAAGAGGGTATAAGAGAATGGGAAAGAAAGATAAGAATAAAGTGAGAAGAAAAAGGAAAGGACATTTGCCTTAGCTCCTTTTACACTTTCACTAATCCAACACGAATGTGAGGACCTACCATGTGCCTGGCACTATTCTAGACACCTCAGAAAGGCTGGTGCGGGCAATAAATCCCATTCAATTTTGGGCGTTCTGGGTCCCACTCTGGGGAAGCAATGCAGAAGTTTCCGGGTGTCTCATGCCTGCAACTCGAGCAAGATACAGCAGGGATACTGTGCCTGGAGACAGAGGCCTTGTCACAGCAATGACAGCTGACTGCGGCCTTAACTCAAACCGGCAGCCAGTTGCCATGGAGACCATGGTCCCTGATCCAGGTGATCCACTCTCCTGGATCATATCTGACACCCTATTTTGGCTGTCAGCTCCCACATCTCTCCCAAGTCATCCACTTTGGGGGGATTGAGAGCTGAGGATGGGAAGACCTAGTGGGCAGCAGCAGACATGGGGAGCAGGTGGTGTGGGAGATGACGGAACCATCCTGTGATATGCAGGGGACAGTGGGATGCACCAATACAAGTTGTCCCTGTGATACGGGGACAGATAATCAGAAAGACTATGCCTGAATGCCTAGGGACTTTAGGGCTATGTGGAGTGAAAGGCGACTGGCTTTAAAATGTATATAGGCCTGAATTACGATTCACATGGTTATCTGTTTGGAGACCCTGATAACAGAGTCACTACCAATACCCACTCTCCATGGGCCCGGATACGTCAGGAGGGCAGGTGAGTTCCAGGTAACACAAATGAGCAAACAGAGGACATCTTTCCATTCACATAGGCATTGAACTTGGATTTTTGCTACTATAACTGTCATAGCTTAGCTATCTTATTAATTAGACAGTGATTTTGCCACTGTCTAGAACAGCTTCCATGGGAAAATATTTCAAGAAAGCTTCCCGGCAGATTCACAAATGAACTGTTAAAATACAATCTATTCCCAAGTTGGGAATTATCTATCTTTATAATGTCCTCACAATAGAATCAAAACACAACCAGCTCATCATAGAGGTGGATTAACTCTGCTTCCCAACCTCAGCCTGGGGCAAGGGAAAGACTCTCAATTCACTGCAGATCTTGTTTACGCAGCCTCATGTACCTCAAGCACATGTGTCTGCTGGACCTTTGGTACTGCACATATGGTCCTGCCAATCAACACCTAGTCTGGTCCACTGCAGAAAGCAGGTGGCCCTTGATGAAGAGAAGGTCACTTTGAGGGATGGTGAGGTATTACAAGTTTACCCTTAACCTTATCACATAGCCAACAGCAACCAGTTATGAGGACCCACTTGCCTGAGTTTCAAGATAAATATTAGTAAACGTTTTACAGCTTTAGCCTAGTTTCACTGAAACTCTGTTACTCCTGCACTCCTGCAACATACCCTGCACCCAGGGCAGTCTCAGGAAATCATTTCCAGTGTGCCTCCTTTGAGACTGTACTGGAGCCTGTCTTTAATTCCTTCTCTACTGAAAATGTTCGGTTATAAAGAAGGTACCTAGCTCCGGTGTAGCATCTTACTACCCTTCCCATCTGTAAAATATGCATTGCCCAGGTACGTAATTGCAGCCCACTGAAGTGAATGAGTGGATTTGCATAGCTTTCTAGCAGTCACTGCCAAGAGTGGTTTGTTCTTGCTTGGAAAAGTCTACTTTGGTTAAGGGGTAGCATCCCAGAGAGGTCTTGGACAACATTAAACATCCATCAGTGGTAATGAGGACCCTGTCATGAGTTCCAAGAAAAGAGCTTTCGATGAATTTTAATCCACCATACTTGAAACTTTTAGGCACAGGTAAGGGGCCAGAAGTGCAGGAACTTGGTGTGTCCATATCAATATACATTGGGAGGGGACTGTACCAGGTTGCTGGAATGTCCAGATGTGAATATTACAGTAAAAGGTTATGTAAAATAGGAACAGGGACACACACATCTCCAACCTGAGTGGTATATGGAACAGACAGTGCACAGGAGTCTGGCTTGGCTATATAACTGTGTGTATGTGCCTAAATCGGGGCATACTTTTCCATGAGCCATTTCTGCATGTGCATATAATGTACTGCCTTGCATAAAGGATGTAGTCAATGGACAGCTGATGAACAGAATATACTTGCCCATGTACCTGTTGCCTGAATTTGCATAAGTGTTACTGGTGTGTGTGTGTATACTTGGAAGCCACATCAGCATGTCAGGATGAATGTTCTTTGAGCTTTTATTTATAAGGTATGCCAGAGACGTCCAGTTCTGTAGCGAAGCATTGTTATTGGACACGTAGCTGCCAAGGCGGTGCAAGAACTGTCCATGTGCTCCCCTGGGAGAGTCTTCCACTGGGACACTCAGTCTGAGATGTGTTCCTGGCTTGAGCAGTTCTGTGGACATGAGTGCATCATCTCAAGGATTCCTTCTCTCCAGTCTCTGTGTGGTTGGAAGGAGATTTGGCCCTGGAGGGAGGCACCTGTACTTGCTAATAGACAGGCAGTGATGGCCTCTTCTCCATTTGGAGAAGCTTGGGCTGAGCAGAGATCCAGAGGTCTTCCTCATCCCTCTTCTTCTTTTTATTGTGTCGTTCTGGCTGGTGGCGGTTCTTGCCTGCTCGGCTCCAGCAGCAGTGGCAGCAGATGAAGAAGAGGGTGAGGATCATCAGTAAGGGCAGCCCCAGGAGGACAGCCAGGCAGATGGTGTTGAAGATGCCCTCTTCATGTTTGGTCATGATGGTCTCCCAGAGAGAGCTGAAGAAGGAGCTGATTTTCTCCATGGTGCTTGGCCAGTATGGGGACAGATGTCCCATGCAACTCACTAGCAAGTCCTGGGTTCAAGAAGACACAGCCGTGGACACTTGGAATTTAGTCCTCTTTCAGCTTTGAATCTGAGCATGCCACAAGTAAACCTGAAGAGATTGAAACAGAGAGTTCAAGAGAAATGCAATGGAAATGGTTTATAATTTTAACAGCATCGCCGATTTTAGGCTTAGGAAAGAGAAGAAATTGAAGATTTCCAAAGAGTCCACTGAAATTGTACTAAGACTCAACAAACAAGATAATTTCATGGATTTAGTCGATAAGCACTAACTAGTTCCTGCTATGTGGACACACAATATTAAATTCAGGATAAGAGAATTAATATGATATCAGGTCTGGTACACAGTAGGTGATCAAGAGTTGTTAGATAAATGAATCAATGTGCATATCCCATGTTCTGGTTAGGGGCTGGCTCCTTGGACTCTACACAAGGATCTTTTGCTCTTTTCTCCACTGCAGCTTACCTGACAGCTGTTGCATATGCATGCCTCAGGGGAGTTTGGGGTCTGACCCTCTATGTACGGACCCAGCCGTGTTTGAAGCACAAGATGAAATGCTACATCTTGCTGCTGGTGGCAGGAGACACTGGGCCTCCTCCAGGCTGAGGTCACTGGTCCTCATCTTGCCTGACTCCTGCCCTCCTGTTTGCTTGCCGTCTTCTGTGCTCCATGTCTCCTCCCCTCTTTATGTCCCGCTTTTGTGTTTGCTTCCCTCCACTTTCTGCCTTCTTCTTACTTTCATCTCTGTTTTCAGTTGCTTGGTTCCCAAGTCTCCTTTCTGCCTGTTCCATTTCTTCTCAGGGGAGAGGAGCCTTGAAGTTCTGTGGAAACCAGGGTGGAGTCTCAGGACGCCTCTCTGCTCCTACACCGACCTCAGTGTAGAGCAGGGACTGTTCTCTTCCTCTGTCACCTCTCTACCTCTCCATACCTGTCTTGAGCCTCAGCACTTAAGTACAACAGGCTTCCTTGGGACTTGGAATCCATGGGTTCTTAGGGCCAAACAAGACCTTGAGGACAACTATGATTGAAGGAAATTCATAAGATTTCTTGGTGCAAGACATCCCCTGGACCCAAATTATTAGAGTCACTGATTTATTATTATTATCATTATCATTATTATTATTTATTATTGTTTTTGGCTAGTATACTATTTTTGGTTAATATACTATATTGTTATTTTCATTATCATTATTATTAGAGTCACTGATTTTTAGGCTGGAGACTTAGAATTCATCCTGTCCAACTATCACTTAAGGAAGACAGATATAAAGCTCAGAATGGAGGGGTGACATGTCTGGGGCCACACAGAGCTGCCAGACTTCTGGATAATGAGTCCTGCCATCTTGCAAGGGTGCTGAGCAAGTGGAAGAACTAATGCTGGTAATACTATTTTGTGATGTGTTTCTTTTTTTTTTTTTTTTTTTGGTTTTTCTCCGGTACCAGGAACCGAACTCACGACCTTGCGCTTGCCAGGCAGGCGCTTTTGCCGCTGAGCTAAATCCCCAGCCCCATGATGTGTTTCACTTAATACTTTTCTAATCACTTTCTCATGTACTTTATCTTTTAAGCGAACAACAGGATGGTGCGGTGACTGTGGACAGATGCAGGTTGGCTCAGGGTTTACTTTATTGCCTTGTACCGGAGGAGAAAGTTATGGCCCTCTTGGGTGGTGCATTATACACAGTACCCCAGGGGCTGTCCTTGGAGGTCTCATTCCTTGGACAACTTGCTCTGTAAATGTCTCATGCACTCAGTGGCTAGTGTACCTACCCAGGCCCCACCTGACGTTAGTCTCGGTTGGGTGGCATGCTACCCTACTCCTGATTTGCACAGTTTTTGCAATTATACACACTGGCACTTACTACTGTGCCCTTTGGTTTACAGTGACCCAAGTAATGCTGTCGGAGGACAATGATACTTTTAGCTAACTTTTATTAAGCACTTAATTCTACGCAGGCATTGTTCTAGACACCTTACTCCCATTAAGTCACTTCATCTTCATTACAGCCTTATGAAATAGGTACCATGATTTCCCTATTCCGCAGTGAAGAGATGGAGACACAAGTCACAAGTGGCTGAGCTGGCCTTGCTCCTGGGGAGTTTGGCTCCAGATCTCTAGGAGGTGAGTGGGTCACAGGCATTGCTCTGGGGCCTCCTATTCCTTTGTATGGAGTTAACCCATTTTTGGCGAGCATCCCAGGATTTGCAGAATCTTACAATCCTTGGCTACTCCCCAGACTGACTTAAACATTTATTCCAGTCTATTGTAGAAAAGACTGTGGAGATTTACTTTCCATTGTTAGGCACTTGCCAAATGCTGAAAGAAACATAAAATAAAACCTGAGTCCTGCCCAAGTGCAGTTTTATAGAAAGCACATGGCTGCCCACATTTAAATTCAACATGCAACAGAGAAAAGAAGCCACATCCTCTCACTGGAGCCTCTTCCAAAGCCCCTCCTGGGACCTGGGGACATCCCATGTCATGGATCTGCCCACACCCCACCAGGAACCCAGCTCTTTGTAGAGAAAAGAAATCCCTGGCACCCTATAACCTCTCGGTGCTCTCCTTTCATATCACTCCCTCTCTTCTGGGCTTACCTTCTCCCTTGGCTATGGCCTTTGTTTTTATCTCAGCCTTCTGTGGCCCATGAAATCTTGGCACATTTGTTGTGGAAGACTTTGGGTACTTTTTACACAGTTTTCTGGGGCCAAGCACCTCCTTGCATGTATAATCAGTGATTCATGTGAAAGGATGACCATCTCCACAATTACTGATAAATTATCCTGCCTCAGGCTGATATTGATCTCCGCAGGGAACAGAAGGGCACCACAGGCCCACTACTGGGGTCGGCCATGGAAAGAGGAAGGGCAGCGAGCTTTAGGAGAATATTAGGAAAGTTTTCACGAAGGTGGACACACTTAAGAAGGATCTTGAAAGATAAGTAGGATTTTGACTAAGAATATAGGTGAAAAGAATGTTCAGACATTCTAGGCAGAGAAACTTCTAGAGCCCAAGCAGGAGAACAGGACATTTTCTGCTGAGCCCGGGGCTCAGGGTAGGAGAGGAGATGACAGAAGATAAGCTAGGCCGGCATCTCGGGGACAGAGTAGCGGTGGGTGCTCATTTGGGAGATTTGTAACAGGAGAAGTTGTGATCAGAGCTGCCCTTCAGGACGAGATCCAAAGATAGAAAAAGCTCTGGAACATGGTTTTTATTTTTTTCCCTTAAAGAAAAAGAACTTATTAGGTCACCTAGAGATTTTATGAGATATGTAATAAAATAAGTTCTGAGTTACCTGGCATTTATGGTAAAAAGACAAAACCATTTGTGCTTTTCTATGTCATTCCCACTTATCAAAGAAAGAAAATGTACTTAGCAACGTAAAGGGATAAATAGTTCTCTGGCACTGGTGGTAAATGTTTTAGGAGAGCTCTTTATCCATTTAACAAACATTTATTGGACACCTAATATGTGCTATGCTCTTTGTTAGGCGTAGATTCAGCAATGAACGACAGAGCTATAGTTTCTGACATCATGGAGCTGTGTACATTCTAGGGGAGTTATTATTATTAAAGGATCATGTCATAAAAGACAAATATAATAAGCAAACTCCAACTGAGGCAGCTTGGTTGGCTGAAATAAAAGCATGCATTTGAATTATGTGTTTTCCTCTGCGTCCCAGGGCCTCCTGCCCCTCCTACCCCTCCTACCTTTGTCTTAAACTTGTCCATCCCTTGGCACCTAAAATAGCCTTTGAATAAATAGATTTCTTTTCAAACTAAGGCTAAGTCAATAACTCACTTCTGCATTTCTAAAGGTACTTATTTGAGTCTGTTCTCCACACAGCCAAAGAGAGTATTCATTAACATTTGGGAACCTAGTCTAGGGGAAATTCGATTAAAAGGTATTCTTTATATTTTTTAGTCTAAGAATTCTCTTCTTGGCCCCCCTAGGTTACTTGCTGAGCTCCGCTAATCTATAGTGTTTCATTAGTATTTATGAGCTTTGCATTATTAGCATTTCCAGGAAACAATCAAATATCTCCTTGGTGGTATGAATTAAAAGTTGGCGCTTCTGTGGGATGTTTTGCAAAAGAAGCCACACTCCGGGCCCGTAGAATGCTCTCTGGGAGACCTTCGCCTTTTGTTGGCTTTCAAGTATCGCTGACACTATTTGAAATGGAATTCATCTGTTGTTGTAAAACCAACAATAGATGCCAATCAACCTTCACCGTGCGACTGTGGTTGTGTGTGTGGGGGGGTGAGGAGTTACCTTCAGTTCTCTGGAAACCAAATACTATTATCTCTCTACTCTCTGTAATGTCTTGGGGCTGGGGGAGAACCAGTCTTCTTTTTTCTTCCAGCATGTGTAAGGTGTTGATGGGGAGCAAGATAGTAGGACCAGAAAACTGACCTGGGTTTGAGCCCTGGGTTAACCTGCATGACCTTGGTAAGTTCTTGAGCCTCTGCTATACAAAGAAGTTAATAGGCTTCCCTCATAATGATGTTGTGAGGATTAAAAAGGCTCAATCTATTTCATGCATTTTGTAAACTGTAAAATACTATACAAACATAATCCATATAACAGTGGGTTATCTCCAAATAACAATGGGCTAATCCCAGCCTGGAGCTTTTCCTCCCCATCCCTGACCTCTAAGCCCAATCGTCATTGGCAAAGAACTACAAGTCCCCATCTCACTCAAATGAAAAGGGTTTCATGAGTGACCAGCCTGCTTATGGCTGATCTGTAGGTTTGTAGCTGTGACTCTAGATTTTCATCCAATGACTGTATGGGGAAAGGTCACCTGGGGAATATTTGTTGGTGTCTGAGGAGAGGGTCTGCAGGCCCCAGCCTCCCTCCCAGGATTTGGGAAACTGGGAAGTATACAGGGGCGAGCCATTCCTCAGGAAGGTCTGATCCACGCTCTGTGGGCCAACAGCTGCTGTGATGTTGTGTTCTGGGCTGGCCTGGGGCTGGTGTTCTTCTGGAGCTCTCCAAGACAGGGGGTAGTGC